TTTTGGGTATTTTTTTGTATTTTTTTCTTCAGCCGGAATGGATTAATCGGTTTTCAATGCATTCTTATGGGAAATGGTGCTTCCACTTATGAAAATTTGGACTCACGGCCACCATTCCAATATGGATTAATTTCATAAATCGAGGCACCACTGTATACTCCTAAGTGATATTTGAGTGTCTGGTGTAAGGTCATGACAGAAAGAAGTCATTGTTGACTCTTTTTTAAATGACAACAAAGGAACAAGAACCTAAGGGTGCAAGCAGAAATGAACAACACATCTATTGTTCATTTCTACTTGCACCCTTGATGTACCTATTATGTTTGGAAAAGGTTATGATTGTCAAACCCATTAAATACACACCATCCTAAATATATGGAATAATTAGGGCCTGTCATTTAGCTCCTTCAGAACACAGCCTAATGAATCCTTTCTCTACCAAACTTGGACAACCATTTACTACTAAGTTCCTTTGATGGCCACACAGCCATGTGAATAGTGTCTTGCAACAGCAGCCACCATATACAGTGGGGTCTTGATTTAAGAACGGCTTGAGTTAAGAACATTTTGACTTAAGAACCGCTCTCATAGGAAAATATTGACTTGATTTAAGTACTTAGATTTGAGTTAAGAACTGAAAAAAAACCACGTGGGAGGCAGGGAAAGTGCAAAATTTGAACTTTCAGTTAACTGTTGGCCAGTGAAAAGGGTGCCTGTCTGCTTCCTCACTCCTCCCAGCATTTAGAGAGTGGATTGGGAGACAGTCTTCGGACTGCCTGGTACTGCCTGGACTGTATTTTCCCTGCCTTCCCTGAACCTTTCTTGACCTAAGAAAAAAAAGAAACAAAATATCCCCCTCTAGTGGTCGAAGGCAGAATAGCAGCTTCCCATTTCTATGGACGGAAAAGAGCAGATACGGATCAAATGGTTTTCAATGTATTCCTATGGGAAATGCAGATTTGACTTGAGAACATTTTGACTTGAGAACCGCCTTCCAATACGGATTAAGTTCTCAAGTCAAGACCCCACTATACTGAATTCATTTAAAAAGTACTCTCCAACTTTTCAAAATTACAAATATTGCAAAGGGATTTCCACTAGAGATGGACACAAGCCTCAGTTCAGTGGTTCATGCCAGTTTGTACACACAGCACCACACCTCCCCTGCCAATGACCCACTCAGCAGATGGCATGTGTTCCTCTCCTCCTCCTCTTTTGCTGCCCCTGCAGGAGCAGAGGTTTGCCTCCTTATCTGAGTGGACAATCGAACAAGGAAGTGGGGCAGAGAAGTCTGTGCTTCTGTCGGAGACTGGTTGAACAGCTGGAGAGGAAGAGGAGATAAGCACACGCTGGCTGGTGAGTGGAGGATCAAGCTGGGGAGGCAGGGGAAGGGAACACAGGTGTTGCGCCATGAAATGGCATGCATCTCCAAACCCAAGTTCATGCCTCTCTCTAATTTCCATCACTGTAGCGCTGTCACAGAAAGATGCAGTGCTATGTGCAATCTGTTCCTTATGCAGAATCAGGATCAGACTCATCTGCATTTCTTAATACTACAGGTCTTTTCCTGATCAGAAATCCAAAACCTTTAAAAAAAAAAAAGTTGGATTACCCTCACTAAAGGTGTGGATATCACACTGTTAAGTTGTCATTTGGCAGCAGGAAGTCTACATTCTTATTTTATGTGTGTCTTAACAGTTGCAAAGTAGGAAGCTAATCTGTCCTCTGTGGCTTTGAACATTTAAATACCTACAGAAGTTTCTTAAACCAGACAACAATAGACATGCAACCGCTCAAAAGAATTTTCACCTGTTTTCAAAGATTAGTTTTACCTGTACAAGTAGCAGTAGATAAGACATGAACAGTGTCAAACTGTTCAATGCTAGGTGGTAAGTAATTACTCCTTTATGCACATAGGCAGAATCACCTAACTCAAAAGTGTGACCTTAAATTGCAAACTAGTTCTCAGCAGAGGTTTGAAGATCTGTATTTTCGAACTGCAGATCCTGGAATTTCCAGGGCAGATCAGCTGCCTAAGGCACTGAACAAAAATACAAGCGTAAAAATAAAAAGAATATAAAAATAAAACTTAGCATTTAAAAAAAACATGGGAGAGCAAAGATTTTTTTGAAAATCAGAAATACATATAAATAAAATTGCAGCTGTTATATGTCATCAGGTCACTTACAACTTAAAGCTATTCAAATAGGATTAAAATACAGGAGATGCTCAAGGAATGGTTTGCAAGCCACACTCTATGGATGAGCAGGGATTTAAACCTAAGTCTACTAAGTCCTAATTCAACACTCTATCCATTATCTCACACTGTCTCGCAAAAAAAGCAGCTATACCTAAATAATAAAAAGCACACCAGTTAAAATCTTATCATGAGGGGTCTGTTTTCAAGGCCTTCTTAAATACAACTGAGGTGAATAACTTTACATGCCTTGAGCAGGCATCGCATAAGGCAGAGGCCATTACCAATAAGCCCTGTCCCTAATGCCTGCCAATCTGACTGATTTAACTGGCTTTTACTGACACTGTGGTTTGCACAAATCATACCTTATCAAACAGCACCTTCAAATTTCTTCCCTTCACTTACCTTCTGCAAAAAAAAAAAATAATAAAAATAAAAAGGAAAGGAAAGGAAAGGAAAGGAAAGGAAAAAAAACAGGAAAGGGTAACCTGTAAGCCCAAGGCTAGCTGTAGAATATTCTCAAAATGATTCGTATTTTGTCCTCACTGCAAAAGCACCTGAAAAGATTGGTGCATTGAGAAAGAGACTGTGTCAGACACCGATAAACACAAGCTGTGGTAATGCTTTTCAAATGGTGAACCTTCCTGGAGGTGTGTACAGGGGTGTGTGGAACAAGCAAATCCTAGAGTGTCCGACCACCTGACACTTAATAGGGATGGCTCATGGTATAAGCAGGAGACTCTCTCTCTCTCTCTCTCTCTCTCTCACACACACACACACACACACACACACACAATTTCAGGGAGCAGGTGCCTCTGCTCAAACCACTGGCAAACCTATGACATTAGATAAGGTTAAAGATCTCAACAGTACATCTAAATGGATGAAAAAGAATACTGACAGCTACCATCATTCAATAATGCCTCAACAATTTATCTGCCTGCTATTTTCCTTCTGCGGTCTTTCCTTCCAAAGCACACACAGATGCAGTCTTTGAGCATGGTGTGGGATGAAGGACTGTAGCAGGAGAGGGGAACCGGTGGAATCTGGCAGAGACCCTTTCTGTTAGCAGAGCACTCTTACGCTAACACAAAGCTGCTCTTCCCAAGCCAATATGCACAGCACCACTGGCGAAGGCACAGAAAAAACAGGTTCAGCTTGCAGCAGACTGCTGCCTCATCACTATAATATACAAAAAGTAGAATTACTCTCAAAGAACAAAAGGCAAGAGAATCTTTCAGTCACACTGTCTGTGCCTTACTTATGTGAACATCTACAAAGCAATTTGGGAGAAATTGCTACTACACATCTGAGGTGGGAAATTATAATATTAAAAACATATTACTAAAAACGTATACTAATGCGGTAGTCATTCATTCATGCCATACTGGTGACAAAAAAATAGCTATTTATAAGGAAATAACAATAAGCTCAAATGGATAGATGAAGCACCATTTTCTGCAATTATAAATAATGTCTTGTAATCAATACAAGCATTAGCAGAATGCCATTAAGCATTAATGGGCATGTTAAGTCTTCCTTCCTAGAGCAGACACTATATTTCATAAAAGTCCTCATTTTTAAAAACAGGTGCACAAGGAAGATATTTTAGACATGCAAAAAGAAATAAGCAAGCAGGCGGCATGCTTTATACTCTCATTAGAATTGCACAGCTGCTACCAGTTGGATAGATCTACTACTTCCAGTTTGCTCACTTTGCAATAGCATATTATTCTCCGTAACAGGTCCTGCTAAAAGATGCTGTTTAGGAGCCTTACAGTCAGCTTATGCATAAATGCAGACTTTTGCCATGCATTAATGGAATATTGTAACATATCTAGCAAATCCCCACACACCTTCTTTCACAAATTGTTATGTCATATCTCTAATTGCAAGTCACTGCAGTACTGCTAAGTATTCCCTCAGTGATAAAGTATCAACTTCACTAAGGAAATTTGTCCTTTGCAGTTTTCCAAAGCCAGCTTTCTGTACACAGAATCAAGTGTTCTATAAAGTTCTGCATTTACAATAACTGAGAAAGGCTGAATTAAAAAGGCAGATGCTGAACATACCAAAGTAATATTGTCATGTCTTGACTTGTGTGTTTGTGTGTGTGTGAAGGATCTTATACACAAACATCATGCAGAAGTGTGCGCGCACTCAACACACACACACACACACACACACACACACACACACACACACAGAGAGAGAGAGAGAGAGAGAGAGAGAGAGAGAGAGAGTACATACTAGATATCTCTTGTATCCACTACATACATAGACAGGAAGAGCCTGTTATACTTCACAAGTGAGCGATATTGTGACACTAAGGTGAAACAGGCTGTTGGTTGACTCACATTCTGTTTGTTTACTCACATCCTGTTGCCTTCACACAATGAAAATGCTGACAGCTGACATTTGCACAGCTGCTTGTTTACTATATTATAGCCAGTTACCCCAAACCTTGCAAGGCAAAACATTACAGAATCACCCACCGGTATCCCATGCTAGTAATACATAGAATAAGTAAGTTTGATAATTTTAAGCAACCACAGCAGATATCTGATGCTGCCAGATTCAAACTGATTGCAGCCAATGGTTTCAAACTTCAACTTAGCCAACACATTTTTAAAAGCACCAAAACATCAATACTATTTATATCCAAACATGTTTAAAATAACAACAACAATAATAATGCTATTCTCATTTTGCTTTTCATTTGCACTCACAATTTATTAAAGCCCTACAAATGCTCTGCAAAAGTAAGGACAATATATATCGAAAGAGAGACTTCCATACATACCTGGGAACCCCCCTTGTACCATTGCTGTATCAGTATGCACCTCAAGGTATCTGCATTCCTGACAAACATTCAAATGCTGGGAGCAGCTCAAATCCTCATCACACCACACACAGAAAGAGACTCAGAGCTCGTCTGACGACCTTGGGCCTGACGGAGAGATTTCCCTCGCCTTAAGGGTAAGCTTTCAGTTCCCTTTCTATGATGAGATGTGATCAATTGTACTTAATTTCAAGCTTGCCCACAAGCTAACAGTTGTATCTGTCGGCAAAACTGTCGGCATAACTATGCAGGGAAAACAAATCCCTGGCTTCCCACATCTGACCCACTGACGCTGCTGCTACCACCGCGGCTGCTATTGCTGCTGTGTTGTTGCATTGCTGGAGATCACTAACATGCGAATGCCGTCCCTGTCCCGAAAGGTGACTCGGTTGAAGAGATGGTCCCTGTTCTCTCCAGCTGGCGACAGTTAATGTCATTCTTAATGTGCCCACTCTTAATTGCAGGGGAAAAATGGTTCATAAACATCAGCCAGAGAGATTTATAGATATATGTTCCTGGTTCCAAGCACCACTGAATGTCTGTCAGCCTTGCAGAGTTGCTTAAGGATCTTCTTTCAGGTTTTACATGATCAGAAATGCAGTAGAGGATCATGTTTGCATTCCAGAAACAAAACTGCTCTGTCTGAATTTAGCCAACCTAAATCTTGCTCTTTGCAGTGCTGATTCTAATGGATTTAATGCCTCTTCAGTAAAACGCAAGATGACACATTCAAAGCATTAACATCTCTCTTTTTTATAGCAGTTTTTAAAAGTCACAATCAAACATCCTAGGAAATTCATGTTTGCACCTCCCTATTTATCATTTGCTCCTCTTTTTCTTTCCATCTGAACAGCATAAGTCTCTATCCTTTCTTTCTAAAATGCATAGGCATGCACAAATCCTTAGGCATACCATCTGTTCAGTTCATTAACAGTGAAAGAGCCAAAGCACTGTTATCAGTTACAACTGTCCAAACAATTATTGGAGCAGAAGCCACCTTTGAAGGAAAATGAATATAATGATGGGCTGAAGCCACCCAGAACGGCTGTGGTGGGATGCTGCTCTGGAAACCAGAGCATCATCCTACCACCACTTAACTGCAGAAGGCTTTAAACATGTCACTGTATTCATTCTACTTAAAAGTAACTCTCCATATCATGTGTAATGCATTTTCAATGTTCCAGCACTGTAGCAACAGTTGTAAACAGTTATGCACAAGTATTCTGCATTTATAAACAAGAATGGGAAACAGAAACACACATGAGATGGGACACTACAGACAAAGCACAAGCATACTAAGTTGAATAGGAATGTTGCAATGCTCCACTGTTCTTTAAGAAAGGTAAAGTAAGAAACATTATTCAAAAATACTGAAACACGACCTAGTACACTAAAAAAACCAAATATCCAAGAGAAATCTAGAGTCATAATTTTTCTGAAAGGTTTCTAAAGCTGTATTGCTTTGCCCACGTCAGGTTCAGAAATGTTTGCTGGTAACCACAGTGACATCTATTGGAGAGGCAGTGTTCTCACTCTCCTTCATTTAAATGTATCTGTAGAAATTCTTGCTTTTAATAAGGAAACTAGCTTTTCCCTTACTCTTGGAGCCAAACTTGCCCAAATTAAAAACAAAATTGCATGTGAAGTGTATACTAACCACATATTTTACCGTGGCTTCATAGATTCCTTCTGCAATTTGAGGCATATCTAACATTGCCCTATAATCAGTCAACCTTGGAAGAACAGCCAGAATAACTTCCTTTTCTTCTCAACAGTGCCCTAGTCTGAGTCTGTGGCTGGTACAGAGCATGGGATAGGAATGTGATATAGCTAAAATGATGAATGAGTGAAACTTGTTTGATCCCACAAAAAAAAGTCTCTTAATAAGATGGAGGAAGTCATGTAATATTCCTTGGCCCTTCAAGAAGCCACCAGATTAGGCTTGCTCACTGATCAGAACCCCACAGTGACTCTGTTGCATTTTCTCCAGCAATATAAAGACTTTTTGGCACTATACTGCCTTTCCTACTGTTCTTATGCTGGCTGGTAATGAACTTTCTATTGAGGGAGATTTTTGGCAACTGACTTTGTGACAGAAGGGGTTTAGAATAAGTGGCTGCTATCCTTCTTTATCATTTGCTTTAAAAAATTGCTTTCATTCTCTGTTTTAATATCATAATTTGTGTTTTTAATATTGCATCTTTTTGTGTGTATATTTGTATTTGTTTTTACATCTTCTTTTGAGTCACCTCAAGTTGTGGTTATGAAAGAAGAGTGGGATAGAAATGAAATTGAATTTAATTGAATACATTAATTCGGAATGGAGATTATTTAGTACTTAGCCTTGTAGAGTGTCATTCAACATGTATTTTGGTTCCTATAGTACCAAAGGAAAAGGAAGACATGGCAGGTAAGAAAGTACAAAGAGGCAAAAGAAGGATCAGACAGAATAAGAAGGGAAAACCACAGAGACACCACACACCACAAACTCTCAAGAAGTGCAATTCTTCTTCTTCCTCTCAGTATAAATTTTCAACTAGTATTTAGACTCCTTCACCTCTGCTCTCACTCTCCCACCTTGTTTATACCTTCATAGCATTGTATTTGGTTTGACATGTTCTGAAGGCTTCTCTAGGACTACTTTCTAGTCCTTTCCTCTCTTTGATCCTATCTGTTTCTGTTCATGCAAAAAGCCAGATCTAGCATCAAAAGTACAGGAAGAGAAATTGTGAGCTACAGGGGATGAGTTATGTGCAGCAGACATTGTTGTTAGATCCAGAAGAATCCAAAACCACAATTTAAAAATCACAAATAAAGTGATTTTGTGTCTGTTTTTCACAATCACATTTTGAGGGGAAAGAGGAAAACCCAATAAACTCAGCATGAAGTCTGAAAAGGGAGAAAGCACACAGAAACAATGCATTACATTTAGAAAACCATCCTGTTCTGAAGACTATAATACATCCAAGGTATGGTTATGTGGCATGAAAGTGAGGATTTCTCACTAGATGAAGCAGCAAACACATCAACAGTGTGATGTTCACATGAGCCTAATTGCTTACTATGGATATTAAGTTTTCCCTCCCCTTCAGAACAGATGTTTTAAAATATTAAATACTGCTAGACTTAAGAAACCTCAGTCCCACTTTGATGAGTTTAGTGCAAAAGTATTTCTCCATGAAAATTCAAAATCTCAAAAACTGTTGCTTTCATAGTAACATCACATTTAAGATCCTTAATGCAGAAATTCAATAAACCACAACTCACCTTCAGTATAAATGTCACCTTCTTCCTCCTCAGACTCTTCAGAAGTGGATTTTTTAAATCCACTGTAAGGAGGTGGCAATTTCATGGGTGGTAGAGCCCCACTTTTCTTCTGAAAATAAACAGAAAAAGTTTGTATATTGTACCCAAGACCTTCACATCCAATTTCATTTTCCAGGCAAGAAATGAGAGACTTTAAATGCTTTAAATGTTGCTCCACAAATAAGCTTCAAATATCATAGAATGTTTAGTTTGTTCAAAACAAACCAACATCACAATATGTTTTTGAACTAGCACTGAAGATCACAAAATACAGATAAACTTCATACTAGACTCCTGGAAGAAGAAGGGGGAAAAAGCATTTCACTGCAAATATATACAAGAGATGCACTTATGAATGCTCAGTACTTCGCTAGAAACAAAAACTGAAAGGTCTGGTTTGAAAAGGACTTTAAATGGCTTCTAAAATATATTGTTTTGCTGCACTTTAGAAAAGACAGCTTTTTACAGAGAAGGTTGATAAGCATTATAGACTACAGTATTTTATTCAGATTTTAATTCTGATTAAGGGCCCTGTATTACAAAACTTCCAATAAAATGCCATTACCTCACATAAATAAAGGCAGTTTCGATAGTGATGCATATAGTGATACATCCTAGATCTAAAGAAAGCAGCTCAGCAACTGTAGCAGACTCATCCAAGCATCTGTTTCTCTGGCTCAAAACAACTGAATCATTATTGAGCTTCCCAGTTTTACTAAATTATGCTCAAGCGCATCTCAAGCCATCAAAGTGCTAATAGCAAGACGCACTTTAGTAAACAAATGGTGAGTGCCTAATGTCATGAGATCAGCATAAATGGCTGGAAAATCTTTTTTTATACAGGAAAGAATTATTACCACCCCCAGTGGTGTGCATGATGCTTTGAGAATTTTTCTCTCTCCAATGCCTACAGTAAAAGCAACAGCTTGATATATGCGGTCACTACCTTTTTTGAAGGTATTTATTTATATTTATATCAGATATTAATATATCTAATATCTAATATATATCTAACATATCTAATATCTATATTTATTCTAGATATTATTCTAAACACTATTGTAAACAGTAATACAGACCTGGTCCTATATGCAAAACTGAAGGCAATAAACGCAGCACAGCATCTGAAATAAATTTCCTGTATGCACATGTTTGTGGTTTCTTTATCTTTAAAGATTTTGGTGCATATTACAGTCTTCATCTCATGGAAGCTGCTCTAGACCACCTCTGTTTTGACTTTTATTGCACTGCTATAATCCTATCATTCATACAACTAAATTGCAAGGTACTCATATTTGTCAACAGACTCCAACATACAGTTTGAATCTGCCTTTCTTGCGCAGCTTGCATTTTACTGATTACAATTAAACTTGGTTTTCCTTGCATTCATTTTTGAACTACATTTCATTACTTACTTCAATGACTTTATCAAGTAACTTGCACAGGGAGTCTAAATATTCAGCTATTAATACTCTATCATCTATATATAAGGACATTCTTGGAGTGGAAATTGAAAAGCAGCAGTGAGAGCACTGCACTTCATTTCTTTATGGTATCTGTCACTTGATCCTGAACTTTCTTTGGAGCTTTTTATTGCCACTACAGGTTGCTAATGGTATGAGTATTTCCTGCATAAAGACTTTTGTTTATCAGTAAGTTATCAGCTTGTTGTGCTAGACTATGTCAAAAACTTTCTTGTAGTCAAAAAAGCAAGACTATATTCATATTCCTGTCACAGTCTCTCTCCCCAAATGCATAAAGACAAAATCATGCTTCTCTGGTTCCAAATCCTCTCACTCCAATGTGCATGTCTTCTTCACACTTCATATAAATTCAGCCATATAGTGTTTGTTGTAACGAAAACCATAAGCAAGTGCCTCATTAAACATATTGTTCTGTAGTCACCTCACTCTTAGACATTTTCTTTTTTGGGTAATGTAATGAAGCCAATCTTACCTGAATGTCAGGAATGATGCCTGCTAGAGATGGGATACCAATATCCTATCTCTATTCCTGCGCTATAGATCTGATC